CACTTTCTGCACATGTATTCCAGAATTTAAAGTATAACAAAATAAAGTGATTATTGATATTGTTGGAAAAAAAAAAAAAAAGAATGTAAAAGTGTTGGCTGGGCATGGTGGTTCACACCTATAATTTCAGCACTTTGGGAGGCCGAAGCGTCTTGAGCCTTACTTGATGGCCTCTTCGATTATGTTGCCCAGGCTAGTCTCAAACTCCTGGGCACAAGTGATTCTCACTTTTGGGAATCTGAATCGTTTGAGACTAGCCTGCGCAACATAGTGAGATCCCGTCCCTGCAAAAGAGAGAAAAAGAAAAAAGAAAATTACCCAGTTGTGGTGGTGCATGTCTGTAGTCCCAGCTACTCAGGAGGCTGAGGCAGAAGGATCACTTACTTGAGCAAGGGAGGTGGAGACTGCAGTGAGTTGTGATTGTGCCGCTGCATTCCAGCCTGAGCAAAGAGTGAGACCCTGTCTCAAGAAAAAAATAAAAGTTAGAGTTTATAAAGAAGACTTGAAACCAAAAAGTTTGAGAACTGAACTAAAGTAACCTAAAATGGTAACTGTTTAGAGTAGGTAGGGATTCTTAATCCAGGGTTCCCAATACTCTCATAGAAAGAAAAAATATTTGTATCTTTTTTTTTTCCACTAATCTCTGAATGAAATTTAGTATTTCTTTCTATTTTGAATGCAGGCAACAAAACACAGCAGTAATATTAGCAGTAATTGTGACTTTGTTACCAATAGATGTTTTTTCCTGTATCCATATTTAAAGATTGTTTCTTGAAGCAACATATAGTTAGGTCTTACTTTTTTATATTGCCTTTGAATTGGAATGTTTAGACAATTTGCATTTAATGTAATGATGTGATTTCCTTTCAATTCTGCCATCTTGCCTTTTGTATTGATCCCAATTTTTTCTTCGCTATTTTTTGCTTATTTGTTTGCATTTTTCATACATTCTTTTTGATTGAGTTGAATTTTTTTTTTTTTTTAACATGGGATCTCGCTCTGTTGTCCAGACTGGAGTGCAGTGGCATAATCTCAGCTCACTGCAACCTCCGTCTCCCGGGTTCAAGCAGTTCTCCTGCCTCAGCCTCCCACATAGCTGGGATTACAGGCGCCTGCCACCATGCCCGGCTACTTTTTATATTTTTAGTAGAGATGGGGTTTTGCCATGTTGGCCAGGCTTGTCTGGGACTTCTGACCTCAGGTGATCCATCCACCTCAGCCTCCCAAAGTGCTGGGATTATAGGCGTGAGCCACCACGCCCAGCCTGAGTTGAATTTTGTTTGTTTGTTTTTAGTGGTTGCTCAGGGACTTACAATATACTTCTTTAACATATGACAATTTACTTCAAAACGTGCTGTATTACTTCAGATATAATCTAAGGACCTTCAGTATTCTCTTTCTCTCTCTTCTACTATTGTAATATATTTTACTTCTACATGTAAACCCAGTGATTATTATCATTTTTGCTCTAAGTGGTGAAATTACTCTTGTGGCTGGGTGTGCTGGCTCATACCTGTAATCCCAGCACTTTGGGAGGCCAAGGTGGGAGGAGCCTTTGAGCCCAGGAGTTTGAGACCAGCCTAGGTAACATAGTGAGACCCTTTGTCTACAAAAAAAGTTAGAAACGTTAGCCAGGTGTGGTGGTGCACTCCTGTAGTGCCAGCTGCTCAGGAGGCTGAGGTGGGAAGATTGCCTGAGCCTAGGAATTTGAGGCTGCAGTGAGCTACAGTCGTACCACTGTACTCCTTGTACTCCAGCCTGGGCAACAGAGTGAGACCCTGTCCCCCCCAAAAAAAAAAAAAAAAATTCTTCATGATTTAAATGTATGCTGGTGAACTTTTTGCCTCCAGCTTTTTTTTTTCCCGCCCCCACCAGGAGGATGAAGTCTGGGAAAAATCTTTTACTTCCATTTCTTCAACATATATTCATTGTATTTATTTTTCTAGGTTGACCGGATTTTTCTTTGTTTTATAGTTCCATTTTCTTCTCTTGCATAGCTTCACAAGAAGTCTGTGTGTGTGTGTGTATTTTTTTTTTTTTTTTTGAGATGGAGTCTCACTCTGTTGCCCAGGCTGCAGTGCTGTGGCTCAATCTCTCGGCTCACTGTAACCACTGCCTCCTGGGTTCAAGCGATTCTCCTGCCTCCGCCTCCCGAGTAGCTGGGACTACAGGCTCATGCCACCACGCCCAGCTAATTTTTTGTATTTTAGTAGAGACGGGGTTTCACCGTGTTGCCCAGGCTGGTCGCAAACTCCTGAGCTCAGACTATCCGCCCACCTCGGCTCCCAAAGTGCTGGGATTACAGGCGTGAGCCATCGTGCCTGGCTGAAGTCTGTATATTTTAACTTTGTTTCTATGTAAATTTTTTTCTTCTGGCTTCTTGTAAGATTTTCTGTTTTTGACAGCTTTTCGGGAATTTGATTATTCTGCCTCATTTTGGTTTTCTTTGTGTTTATACTCCTTCAGGAGGCGGGCTCATTGAGTTACTTGGATGTGTAGATGTGTCTTTTTTTTTTTTTTTTTTGAGACAGGGTCTCTGTCACTCAGGCTGGAGTGCAGTGGGACAATCGCAGCTCACTGCAACCTCTGCCTTCTGAGTTCAAGGGGTCCTCCTACCTCAACCTCCCAAGTAGCTGGGACCACAGGCACATGCTACCACACTCAGCTAATTTTTTGTATTTTTGGTAGAGATGAAGTTTCACCATATTATCCAGGCTGGTCTCTAACTCCTGGCCTCAAGTGATCTGCCTATCTTGGCCTCCGAAAGTGCTGGGATTACAGGCATAAGCCACTGCACCTGGCCAGATATATCAGTTTTATCAAATTTTGAAAATGTCATTATTTCTTCAAATGCTACCCCTGCTCGCCATTCCAGTTACATATATATTATACTGCTTGATGGCTTGATATTGCCCTGTAGTTCTTGTCTTTTTCTTTTCTTTCTTATTACACCCCTAGTCCTTCTACCCTTGCTTCTTTGTTCCCTCTCTCCTGTCTCCCTTTCCCCTTCTCTTCTTTCCCCTTATTCTCATCACATTTTAGCTGCGTTTAAATTTGGGTATTTTCTATTACTGTGTCTTCAGATCCCCTGTACTTTCCTTCTGTGGTATTTAATATATTGTTAATACCCTCCAGTGATATTCCTGTTTCACATACTGTTTTTGAATACTGTAAGTTCTTTTTTTTTGAGACGGAGTCTCGCTCTGTCGCCCAGGCTGGAGTGCAGTGGCACGATCTTGGCTCACTGCAAGCTCCACCTCCCGGGTTCATGCCATTCTCCTGCCTCAGCCTCCTGAGTAGCTGGGACTGCAGATGCCTGCCACCACGCCTGGCTAATATTTTGTATTTTTAGTAGAGACGGGGTTTCACTGTGTTAGCCGGGATGGTCTTGATCTCCTGACCTCGTGATCCACCCGCCTCGGCCTCCCAAAGTGCTGGGATTACAGGCATGAGCCACTGCGCCCAGCCTGAATACTCTTAAGTTCTTTTTGGTTCTAATTATGTGTACCATTTTCTTCCTCATTTTTTTTTCTTTAAATTTTTGAGCATATTTATAATTGTTTTGGAGTCCTCATTGGCTAATTTCATCATCTTGTTTCTGGGATGGTTTCAGCTGATTTATTTCACTCTGGTTTCAGGTCACATTTTCTTTCTTCACGTTTCTATTAATTTTTTATTGGATACTGGACATTGTTAATTTTATATGATTGAGTGGTGGAATTTTTTTTTCTGCTTCTTTTAAAGAATCTTGGACTTTTGTTTAGACAAGTGGTTGAGTTACACATGGACCAACTCCATCCTTTTGAGCCTTGTTTTAAGCTTTGTTAGGAAGCATCTAGAATATCATTTACTCTAGAGCTTATTTAGCTCTGCTACTAAGATAAGAGTCTTTTGAGGTTTCTAGTGAATTCTTAGTTTTTCAACAAGGAAGACTTCTAGTCAGAACCATATGACTCTGGGAATTGTTCCACCTGTAAATCTCTATTTATTCTTTGCCTTACTTTTTGAAGTTAGTCTGTGTGCTGGGCTTAGTGCTTAGCCAGACTCAAGTGAATCCTTATGCAGATTTCTGGAATTTTATATGCTTAGCTTCCACTTCTCTGGCACACTTCTAAGCTCTGCTTGAGTTCTTTCTCCCTTCACCATAGTCTGAAAAGTGCCTCTAGGCAGAAAGCCAGGGCAGGTTAGGTCTCACTTCATTTCTTTTGCATCTCAGAAATCACAGTCCTACACTGCTTGTTATCCAATATCTAAAAAGAGTTTTATATTTTTTTGTTCACTGTTCTGGCTGTTATTGTGAGTTGAAAAGTCTGTTTCTAGTTATTCCACCATGGCCATTGAAAATTATTTCCTGTCTTTATACCTTTTAAGATAACCATGGAGATAAAAAATAAAGTTTATGTTCCTTTTATTTTCTCTGGCCATTTGGGCCTTATGTCGTGTATTGCTAATAACTGCCTATAGTGTTTAGCAATTTCATCTGATCTCTTGTTCACATCTTTAATTATTTTCAAGATGACACTTTAAATGGTTCAGCTATAATACAATAATGAACAAAATAGTGTAGAATTACTGTAGAATATTTTAAGCAAGTAAAATAGCCTGTACATTATATTAAAGCTCATGAGTGAATATTTTTTAAAAGTACATAAGTTGTTTAAATGATAGCTTTGCAAAGAATTAGGTTTATCATTGTAGTCATAAGATTATCAACTGTTGGATTTAATCATCTTGTTTTTAATCAAAGATTCTTAGAAGTAATATGAACATAATTGATGCCTAGTCAAAGATGATCTTCAGTGAATTAAAATGTCTGAAAGTAATCCTATAAACTTATGTTAAAATCTATATGGATTTTTGCCATGTAGCTTCTGTTGTCCATTTGATAGTCTTACAAGGAAAAAACAAAACAAACTCCTATATTTGATGTAGCAGTTGTACATTATTAGGCTGTTAGTATGTTTCTTAATCTTTGATTTTTTTGTTTGTTTGTTTTTCAGATCGTCAGTATTTAAACAGATCACATCATGCGTGAGTACAAGCTAGTGGTCCTTGGTTCAGGAGGCGTTGGGAAGTCTGCTCTGGTAAGTTAGCCACCTAACTGTAACTGATTAGTATAATACAAGAAGAATTTTGATATTTCCTTGCTTTCAGACTTCTAGACACCAAAGAGAAAAAGTGGCATTATTATATATCTGGTATCTGCCCCACAAAGGACGGGAAATCATTTAATAACCACAGATATACACTTTTATAATGTTGGCTCATTTATTCTTACATTTATCAATTATTTATTGACTGTCTTACATGGCAAGCACCAGTGTTTATGATTCAGAGAGGAGTAAGATTGTTCTCATTTTTAAGGAATTTACATTGTAGTGGGGGAAACTGATTATTACAGATTCTATTGGGATAATTCCTCACCTGCTTCCACTCTAGACTTACATGGAATGAAGGTCATTTTTTGTGTTCATGCTGTTTTTATTTAGTAAATAGTTACTGAGCTTCTACAATGTCAGATTCTAGGGTCACAGGAGTGAACAAAAACAGTCATAGTTTCTCATGGAGCTTGCATTGTAGTGGAGGAGATGTGATAAATACACAATTAAACAAAGAACTCCTTGGTTATACTTGTGAGAGAGATACTCTGAAAAAAAAATACGGATTAATTTAGAAGAAAGGCAGAGTGGATGTGGGAGACAAATTGGGAGTTAATACAGTATACCAGATCATTGTTTATGGAACCTTGGATTAAAACCATGGCAGTGAAGAAGAGAGAAGTAGATGTTTGAGGATTGAGTAAGTGGTAGAACTGACGTAAGTTGGTGCTAGATTGATACGGGGACTAGGAGAGAAGGAGCTGTCAAGGATGGCTCCCAGGTTTCTAGTTTGAGCTACTATTATGGATGGATTAAAAAAAGAAGGGAAACAGTGGAGAATGAGCAGTGAGAGTCCAAATCAAAGTGTCAAGCCAGATTTTATGTTTGTGACATGTTGAAGTAATAAAAGAGAGAGACCGGTGATATGACTTTGGGTGCCATCAATATGGTGATGATATTTAATTTCATGAGAGTTACATTACTGTTAGGTGTGTAAATTAGTGCCTTTGTCGAGAATGTTTGAGAATATCTGTCATTTTTAATGGCATATAACTTTCAATTCAAAGATTCCTTTTCTAAAAATGTAGCCCACATATAAGTTCACATGTGCAAAATGGCGTGGTCAGGGAACATTGCAACATTCTTTACAGTGACCAAGTGACCAGAGTCTGGAAACAACCTAAATGTGTTCCATTAAGGGGCTAGTTAAGTAAATTTTAATACATTTTCAGAGTAGAATACAGCCATTAGAAAGAATGCAATAGCTCTATATATACCAATATGTAATGATATCCAAGATGTATTATTACAGAGAAAAAAGGTACTAAACAGTGTAGACTATAATTTGTGTTTTATATTAAAAAAAGTGTAGGCTGAGGGCAGATAGCTGTAAAATCATAGAGTATCTCTGCAAGGTTAAATAAGCTATGGGTAATATCAGTTACTTTCTTGGGAGTGGGACTGGATAGCTGGGAACAAGGGTGGTAGATAAGCTTAGTTCACTGCATAGCCTTTTATGCCTTTTGAATTTAGTGCTATGTCCATGAATCACCTTTTCAGAAATAATTTTGGAAAAAAATCCACAGGAGTGAAAGAGGTCTAGGGAGATACTAGAGAGAGAAGAGCAGAGCCCAGTACTGAGCTCTGAGTACCTCTCAACCTTTAGGAAGTGGGTAGGATTGGAGGATCTAGCATAGAAGGTGTCTTTACTTGATTGCTCAAAAGTCAAGTAAAAAAGAGGAAAGAGATGATCAGAGAGCATAGAGGTAGTGGGACATGGTAAAGAAAGCAGCTTTAGTCAGGTCATGTTGCCATAAGCATAGTGGGGTGGGTTGAAGAGCAAATGAGAGCTGAGGAAATGGAATATAGACATTTGAAGAAGCTTGATTATAAGAGGAGACAGAGAATGGGGGCAGAAGCTGGAGAGATATTGGGGTTAAGGGAGGTTTTTGTTTTTGTTTTAGAATTGGAGATAGTAAAGCATATTTGTATGCTGGGGCAATTCCTCTCCACTGGAGAGGAAAATGAGGATACAAGAGAGGAAAAGAGGAGATGATCCAGTACAAAAACCTGAGGAATAAAATTATAATCTATGTGAATCAATGAATGAGATGTCCCTGAAAATTAAGACAGAGGATAAGATTCAGAGGAGTAGTAAAACATTACTTTTAGTAAGAAAGAAATGAGAAGTGTTGGATTGTTTTGCATTTGTGCAAGTCTTATTAATGTCTGGTTTATAGAAGGCACATGGGCTCTTATGCCTGCTTCTGTATCCAGTCTCTTGGAATAGCAAATGTTCTACTTTGGAAGATTCCACTGTAAACTTATGAGAGAAGAAGAAGAGTACATCTTAGTATTGTTAGGAAGATAGTTTGGCCTTGGGGAGCCTCTGTCTTGGACCGTATTTTGAGAACCTCTGTTCTAGCCTAAAGCATATTAGGAAGCCATATTAGACTGCCTTTTTTTCTTTTTTCCGCCCAGGCGGGAGTGCAGTGGCGAGATCGCGGCTCACTGCAGGCTCCGCCTCCCGGGTTGACGCCATTCTCCTGCCTCAGCCTCCCGAGTAGCTGGGACTACAGGCTCTCACCACTGCGCCCAGCTAATTTTTTTTTTTTTTTTTTTTTTTGAGACAGAGTCTCGCTCTGTCGCCCAGGCTGGAGTGCAGTGGCCGGATCTCAGCTCACTGCAAGCTCCGCCTCCTGAATTTACGCCATTCTCCTGCCTCAGCCTCTGGAGTAGCTGGGACTACAGGCGCCCGCCACCTCGCCCGGCTAGTTTTTTTTGTATTTTTTAGTAGAGACGGGGTTTCACCGTGTTAGCCAGGTGGTCTCGATCTCCTGACCTCGTGATCCGCCCGTCTCTGCCTCCCAAAGTGCTGGGATTACAGGCTTGAGCCACCGCGCCCGGCCTTTTGTATTTTTTAGTAGAGACGGGGTTTCAGCATGGTCTTAATCTCCTGACCTCGTGATCTGCCTACCTCGGCCTCCCAAAGTATTTTTTGTTTTGTTTTGTTTTTGAATCAGCATCTTTCCCTGGAGTGCCGTGGCATGATCATGGCTCACTACAACTTCAACCTCCTAGGCTCAAGGAATCCTCCCACCTTAGCCACCCAAGTAGCTGGGACTACAGGTGCATGCCACCACCCCTGGCTAATTTTTAAATTTTTTTTGTAGAGACAAAGCCTCACTACGTTGCCCAGGTTGGTCTCAAGTTCCTGAGCTCAAGCAATCCTCCTGCCTTGGCCTCCTAAAGTGCTAGGAGTACAGCATGAGCCACTGCATCCAGCGTAGACTGTTTTTTATGTTTAAATTATGTGTCATACTTAGAAGATGAGGTGATTAAATCCTTGATAAAAGTGATTATTAAAGTTTTTGTTGTGATTTTATCTTGAGTTGCCTTTGAATAATAGAAGCTTAGTAGGAGAAAGAAGTTTGTTTACTATATTTGAATTAATCTCTTTAGCTCAAGCTAAAATAGTATATCAAATACTCCTCTGAGTAATTTAAGTGTAGATGACCTTAGTCCACATTCTTACCCTTGCTTTTTAGGCAACAATGTACCAGACCCTGTTTTAAAGTTATCTAGGCAATATCTTAAAACCATCTTCTGTACTTTTTTCACTTACTGAATGATAAATACGTATTTTCTAGTATGTGTTTTTAGATGCCTTTAAGATAAAAGTAGGTAATATCTGAAAAAGACGAATGGGCAGTATTTTCCAATGGAAAAAGTAAGGCTTTAGAATCAGGAAGATGTATGTTTGAATCTCAGCTGGCAAATAGGAAGAATAACTATTTCTGGGATGAAAGTGAAATTTGAATGTGGTTATAAATTAAAAGTGGCTAGCTTAATGTCTGGAACATAATAAACATTCAGTAAGTTTAAATTTCCCTTTCTCTTTTCCACCACAATTTAGAAAGGCTTTAAAAAATTTAAGCCAGATGCTGCTTGAGGTCCCAGCTACCTAGGAGACTGAGGCGGGAGGATCTCTTGAGTTCAGGAGTTCAAGGCCAGCCCAGGCAACATAGCAAAGACCCTGTGTTTTAAAAAAAAATTAGAATCTTTGTCACTTCATTAAGGGCAGAGGGCATGGGATAAAAGTTACTATAGATATACAAAGGGGCAGTAGGAGTTAAATACTGATAATTTTTCATCTTTTAATTAGTTCAGATATGTTATTTGTATCCTTGTATTTTAAAACTTAATGTAATTAACAGTGTATTATCGTCAGTATTGATGACAGCTTTTAACATGACTACCTCCTTTCATAATAAATGTACTCTTAATTATGGTTGTATCCTTATATTGAAAGATAATGATATACTTTACATTTATGTGTTTACCCAGAATTTTCACATAATTTCAATTAATCATCATAGCGTGTGAGGTTAAGTAACATTCAAAGGAGTTTTTTCTTTAATTTTTAAATATTTCTCTTATTTTTTTTCCCCAGACAGTTCAGTTTGTTCAGGGAATTTTTGTTGAAAAATATGACCCAACGATAGAAGATTCCTACAGAAAGGTAAAATGTGAAACTTGTACACACGTTTACAAGTAGTTCCTTATGATGATAAAATTTGATCTGTACATTTGCTTTTTGAAAATAGTTTTGAGAAATGATGCAAATGTTGTGCATATGTTTTTAAAAGTTTCATCAAGACAGAATATTTATTACAGAATACTACTTCGATATTCAGAGCTCTATGTTCTGTTACTAATTAGTGACTTGTTCCTTAATGTGGACATTTTCCAGGTGGGGAATATTGCCACATATGAAAAAATTACATATAAATAGTAGGTGTGTTTTCAACTTACTCTTTTGTTACCAAAAGTTAAGACCACCTTTATGCTTGAAGTTATCCAGTGACTAAACATTTTTATTTTTGTTTAGTTTTATAAGTTTAAAGGTATTTCATCTTTAGACTACAAACAAATTAGAGTCTGTGTAATACTATAATTGGGTTACATGCCATACATTTGTCAAACCCACAGAATGTACAATGCCAAAAGAAAATCCTAATGTAAACTGTGGACTCTTGGTGATAATGATGTGTTCATGTGGGTTTATCAGTTGTAACAGATGTACCACTCTGGTGCAGGATGTTGATAGTGGGGTGAGGCTATGCATTTGTGGTGGCAGGGAATATGTGGGAAATCTCTGCACCTTCCTCTCAGTTTTGCTGTGAACCTAAAACTGCTATAATAAATAAAGACTATTTAAAAGGGAAAAAAAATTAGATACTTGGTCTTGACAAAAAATATTCTGTAGAAGACCAGCTAGAGTTGTGGAAAATTTTCAGTATTTTACTTGTCAAATATATTGGGTGGGATGGGGGTTATAAAAGGCTAGTAGCCAAGGATTTTTTTTTAAAAGATTGAACTTTAATAGGAAAGGATTGCTTTTGAAGATGTTTTTAGAATTTACCTTTAAGAGTGCTGTAACTTCTGTTGAATTAATATGTTAGTTCATGAAGCACTACTAGCAGAGCAGTTTCATTGTCTTCAAATTGGAAACAAAATTATGCTCTAGATACATTGAGAAACTGTAGTCCTAATTGATTATTCATTGAGCGTTCCCAGTTACACATTTTGCAGATTATCACACTTGTCCCATAAGTGGTGGGGGGGATGAGTTTGTGGTCTGACCAGTGGTGCCCCTCATCAATGTCTGATCTGACACAGAAGCAGAGTTTAAAATAGTCTTTAGGTTAGCACATTTATTTTTAGAAGACAGTATTGCTCTACTGAAATTTCCCCAAAGTAAGTTGCTAGTTAAAGCTTTAACTGCAAAGCAAGATCTGTACCTAAAATGCTAAATTACTAACTTTTCTTAATCCCTTCTTTATTAAAATAGTTTTCCACACAGTTGATAGTTGATACTTTCTTTAGACCAACCTTCTCTTCTTTTATAAGATCAGTGGGTAAATAGAACTCAGTGTATAAAATTTCACCTTTCACATAGAGCTTTTCTAGAAAAGTGCCTTAGTCTTGAGGACTGTTTTAGCTCATTGCTGTTTATTTGAGTACTCCTGTGTTTCTTTTATGTCTTAAACTCAAATTTTACTATGTATTAATTTTCTGCATGTTTTAGTAAAATTTTAACAACTTGAACATGGTAAGTTGGCAAGATTTTTTTTTACCCCAAAATCTTGTGTGCATTTTGAGCCATTTAATATTTTTGTACTTTGTTTTCTTTGGAGATAATATAAATAGGCATATATACTTTTTTTCTGTTAGAACTATACTTGTTTGTTGAAGTTTTCCTTAAATTCCAAAATACGACTTTTGCCTTTATTAAGAACAAATAAGAATCATTACAGAGGTCAGAAAATATCTAAACTCAGCATTAACCATCTTGGCTTCTGTAATATGAATAGCCTGTACTTGAGACCGCTGTTCTTTATTGTGGTACCAAGTTTACCCCCAGCCATACAGCATACTGCTGGAGAAAGGCTTTGTATTTGTTAATAGATAACTTTGATGGAAGACAGGAGAAGAAAACAGAATGAGATTTTGATGTTACTTTTTAACTTTCTTTTTTTGCCCCCACAGCAAGTTGAAGTCGATTGCCAACAGTGTATGCTCGAAATCCTGGATACTGCAGGGACAGTAAGGATGTTTTCTCTTTTTTTGATAGATTTTAATTTGTGAGCAGGTTTTGTCATCTGAGTAGGTTTTGTCATCCAAATAATTCTGAGTAAAAGTAATCATTCTGATTAAGAAGAAATTCTCTGAACATAGGGATTCTTAAGTAATATGAAATCAACTGTAATGTAGTTAATGCTTACGTATCACAAAGTTCAGCTGTAATAATCTGTGTGTTGGGTTTCTTCCTACATTGAGGTAAGGATTATGCTATCAATGATTTTTTTAAATGTATTTTAAATTTAGAGTTTTAGCTAATATTTGTATTTCTGTGGGTTTAAATAAGACCTTGTCTTTTGGCACCATAGTCATTAATTTTTATAATTTTTTCTTTTCACTAGCATTTTGACATCTCTAGGGGTTGGTGACAGATACATGTTTTCTGAGGAAGGCAAAAATCTTCCTCAGAAGATTTAGGATTACTTTGAGCCTCCTTTTTCTAATCTTTAAATGAATATAATGATATTAGTATATCATAAGGTGTTTGTGATAAGCAAATGAGATAATAATTATAAATCATTCGGCATAATGTCTGTTACACAGTATGGAATTGTGTATTTGCTTTTATTCTTCTTATCTTCAGTAATACCATCACCTTTATAATTTTTTATTAATAACTGATGGTTTCCAGTTATACTGCCACACAAAATACATACATGAAGCAATCTTTGCTTTTATTTGTTTATTTTTCTCCATACACATAGACTTGACACATTAGGCAATTCCTAGCTTTAAAATGGATGGGTTCGTCTTTTGTTTTTCTTAAGAGACAGGGTCTTGCTCTATCGCCTAGGCGAGGGTGTAGTGGTGCAATCATAGCTCACTGCAGTCTCCTGGGTTCAAGCAATCTTCCTGCCGCAGCCTCCTGGGTAGCTAGAACTACAGGCACGTACCACCACCCCCGGCTAATTAAAAAAAAATTTTTTTTTAGAAGTAGTCTCTCTGTGTTGCCCAGGCTAATCTCAAACTCCTGGCCTCAAGTGTTCTTCCTGGCTCTCTTTCTGAAAGTGCTGGGATTATAGGTGTGAGCCATGGCACCTGACTGGCATTCTTAAATGTGATAAGTTGTTTAAAATTCAGCACAAAATTTTCTACCATAATTTTTATAAATGATGGAAACATTTCAGATAGTCCAAAAAAGCATGTAAGCAATTGGAGTGATATTATACAACAATATAGTACTAATTATACTATATTTTTCCATGCTTAAAATTGATCTTAACTTTTAACAGGGACCTTTGCCCTCACAGCAAGCTTCTGGTAAAGACCTTCTGAAACTACATCTTGTATCAGCTGAATCAAGCTGTCTCTCCCTCTCCCACCCTCCTCCTCCCTAATGTTTTTAGCTTCTGAATCAGCAAAATTCCCCTTTGTTTCCAGAAACCCCAATAGCTAAAAAGAATACTTTCTACTTTTTTTTTTTTTTTTTAATCACATCCACAGTGTATGGGCATTCTTTCTTTTTTCTCTGTCCAAATTGTAAGACGGAAGTTCTCTATCACAGAGATCTTTACTTTGTGCTATCCAATATCGTGTCTGTCTCCCATCATAGCACTCAACATGCTGTGTTATAAGGCCTATTTGCTTGTTTGTGTCCCTGGTGCCTTGCATAAAACTTTGCAAACAGCTGCTTAGTCTTGTCTCAGAATCACTCCTTACCCTTTGAAGATTTTTGCTCTCTCACACATAGATAATTTACTACCCTGGCTTGGCCTATCAGTTCCTTAATGCCCATCCTACCTTTAAGGCATTCATACCATGGTTTTACCCTAGACTGTGTGATGACCAATATATAATACCTCCCTAATCTAATTTCCAAGCTTCTTATCCTCCACTACTCACTACTTTTTTCTTTATCCATCTCACTTCCTCTTTTTGTTTTGTTTTGTTTTGTTTTTTGTTTTGAAACAGGGTCTCTCTGTGTCACCCAGGCTGGAGTGCAGTGGTCTGAACACAGATCACTTCTGCTTCAATCTCCCAGGGTCAAGAAATCTTCCCACCATCACCTCCTGAGGAGCTGGTGCTACTGCAGGCGCACACCACCACACCTAGGTGTTTTTGTTTGTTTGTTTTTTGTAGAGACAGGGTCTCACTATGTTGTCCAAGCTGGTCTTGAACTCCTGGACTCAAGGGATCCTCCTGTCTTTGGCCTCCCAAAGTGCTGGGATAACAGGTGTGAGCCACTGCACCCAAGACATCTCATTTCCTTTAGTGCCCTTCAACTTCATTACAACCTGTAATCCATTTATCCTAACATCTTTTTATTATCCCTTATATCTTCAGCCCCCTCTGCATATAGCTTCAGGTCCACGGTCCGTCCATCATTTATAATTCTCTTGAATATATCCTCAACTCCCTTGACTTTTCAGCAGCCTTTGACTCAGTTTATCACTGCTTTCTAATGTAAAACCTTTATTCATTTGGCTTCCAAGAAACAATACTTTTCGGATTTTCTCCGTCTCATTGGTTACTCCTACGTCTCCTTTCCTAATTCCTCTTTATCTTCCCCACCTCTTAATGTTGGAGGACCTCAGGGTTCAATACTTGCACTTCTCTTTTCTAACAACACTGCTTTGGAGATCTTTAGTTGCTTGGTTTTAAATACAATCTGTATCCTAATAAATACTAACTTTATAACTCTGTCTGTATTAGGCCGTTTGCATTGTTGTAAAGAAATACCTGAGGCTGGATAATTTATGAAGAAAAGAGGTTTAATTGGCTCATGGTTCTGCAGGCTATACAAGCATAGCTTCAGCATCTGCTTCTGGTAAACACCTCAGGAATCTTACAATCATAGTGAAAGGCAAAGGGGAGTAGGTGTTTTACATGGCAAGAGCAAAGAGAGAGCGGGAGATGCCACACACTTTCAAACAACCAGATCTCATGGGAACTCACAATCGTGAGGATAGCACTAAGCCATTCATGAGGGATTTGCCTCCATGACCCAAACACCTCCCACAGGCCTCACCTCCAACATTGCGGATTACGTTTCAGCATAAGGTTTGGAGGTGACAAACATCCAAACAATATCCCTATCTCTCATTTCTTTTCTGAACTTCAAGCTCTTATATCTAACTGCCTCTTGGTATCTCTTTTTGTATGTCTAATAAGCATCTCAAACATAACATGTCCAAACTGAACTCCTGATAGCCTTTCCCTGACCTGGGTCTTTCCATTCTTTCCCATCTCAGTAAATAGTACCCTTTTAGTTGGTTATGCCTGAAACCATGGAGTCATCTTTGACTGTATTTTTTGTTATATTCTGTGTACATCCAAACTCTCGGAGAACCCTATTGGCATTACCTTAAAAGGTAGGGCTACAACATTGTTAGTAGATATTTGTTGTGAATGGATGAAACTTGTAGACTGTCCTTAAGAAGGAGGTTGGCATTCTCAATAGGAGGGGACACCAACCACAGCAGTTCTGTAAGGACTTTTCTTAAATTGGATTTTCAGAACTAAGGTTGCCTGTTGCAAACCTTATCAGTGAAAAATCCAGGAAACTCCCAGTTTTTACATCTTTCCCAGAAAATACACTGGCAGCAGTATAGGAAGCTCAGCCATATTCCTGTGGCAGACCATAGACGAATTTGAAGCTGAAGAAATGGTTGAGTGGTAGCATAGCTAACTCCCTGGAATACAAGAAAGAGTACGTCAGCCAGGGTAGAACAACCAGAACTATTTTAGATGTAGTAGACAAAATAGAGGTGTAATGGTCATGGGGAGCAAGGAAGCCAAGGCAGCAACAAGCTTAAGAAACCTTGTGGATTTGTCTTTTCTGTTTAATGCATCCAAAGGTAAAAAGATCCAAAATGTGTAGTTACTTAATATAAAGACCCAAGATGTATACATTTTTAATATTCTACCATATGTGCTTTTAAAATAATATATATAAAACACTAAAACTTTTCTAAAATAAGATTTGGTCTTGTATTAACCTCTGTAGTTACAAATGCAGTAATGATTGTCACCAGATAAAAGGAAGTTTAAAATTAAATAATTTTAATTTGGCATGACTAAAGCTCAGTGACTAAATGTTAACAATTAGTAAATTTAACTGAAAGGTATATGTCATTGCACTATTCTCACAAAGTGGGAAATGAAAATACATGAACAAGCTCTTTTTTTTTTTTTTTTTTTTTTTTTTTTCCCGAGACAGAGTTTCACTCTTGTTGCCCAGGCTTGAGTGCAGTGTTATGATCTTGGCTCACTGCAACCTCTGCCTCCTGGGTTCAAGTGATTCTCCTGCCTCAGCCTACTGAGTAGCTGGGACTATAGGCGTGCACCACTACGCCCAGCTAATTTTGTATTTTTAGTAGAGGCAGGGTTTCACCATGTTGGCCAGGCTAGTCTCTAACTCCTGACCTGGGGTGATTGATCCGCCTGCCTTGGCCTTCCAGAGTGTTGGGATTACAGATGTGAGTCATTGCCCCTGACCATTAACAAGTGCTTATAAAAAGAGTTTATTGACTGTCAAGATGATAAAAATCTTGCTATGCCATGGGAATAGTAAAAGAAAGATGATAAAATCTGCCAGTAGAGATATTGATGCTGGATGATTAAGTCATAGTTCAGTATTGGGCTTATACCTCAGATTGTTAGCACCTGGGCAGTAGTTGTGTCATAAATTTGCAAATAAAATTATTTAGGATCAAAATTAAGATCTGTTTCTAAAAAATTATATACAGTTCTAAATCACACAAAAGCAAATTAAAGTGGTTAAGAATTCCTTTTTAATTCTACAGTTTACTGTCATTGTTTCTAGTCACCTCAGAGTTGCTGGAAACTGTGTTAAGTCTTGTTTTCTGTTAGGATAGCAAGTAATAAAAAATGTAGTTGCTCACTTGTACGTATGCTGTTTTGAATTGTTCCAGTATACATTCAAAAAATTCATATATTTATAATTGCATATTTTTTAATCATAGGAGCAATTTACAGCGATGAGGGATTTGTATATGAAGAATGGCCAAGGTTTTGCACTAGTATATTCTATTACAGCTCAGTCCACGTTTAATGACTTACAGGACCTGAGGGAACAGATTTTACGGGTTAAGGACACGGAAGATGTAAGTATTTTTTTTCTCTGTTAGGTGTTATGCCATCTCGCTGTGGCCAAATAAAAAAGTGCCTGTTTTCTCTATCAGTAGAGGATTTGGAAGCTACCTGCCACATGCCTGAAAGAGCCCCTGTGACCAAAAAAAAAAAATTTAACTTTCAAAATTAACCTCGAAATTATGTGGTGAGATGTTTAGAAAATGAGAACATGTGTAATAAAGTACTCATTGTGCTACAGGTTAAAAAGTGCAGTAGGGGAAAAAGAGGAGCCAAAGAATACTTCATAGAAGTGGGAACTAAGTTGAGCTTTGAAAGATGGTAGTTGTGTCAGAAACAGTGTTCAAAGAACATTATTAAGATCTATAGTGGTATGTTTTTATTTCTAAAATTTCTTTGGCATAATTCACACATTACAGTCTACCTCCCGGGCTCAAGTGATCTTCCCACCTCAACCCCCTGAGTAGTTGGGACTACAGGTGTGTGCCATCCTGCCTGGCTGATTGTTTTTGAATTTTTTAGTAGAGACCAGGTCTCACTATGTTACCCAGGCTTGTCTCAGGCTCCTGAGCTTAAGAAATTCTCCTGCCTCAGCCTCCCTGGGATTACAGGCATGAACCATTGCACCTGGACAGCATTATAGTCTTAAAATAATTTAGTGTATCTATGTAGTGGGATCTCTTTTATTTTATTTTATTTTATTTTTTTTTGGTCTCTTCCTTCTTCCTTCACCTCTTTCCCTCAACATACACTTTTTGTTAGTACTTAATGAAGCTTGCAGTCCCAACTAATGCATTTTAGTTGGTGGCAGATAATTGCTTATTTATTTTTTTAAAAGGCTAAGTAATAAGTATGTTATTGTTCATTTTATGTTTTTTTCTTCCCACAGGTTCCAATGATTTTGGTTGGCAATAAATGTGACCTGGAAGATGAGCGAGTAGTTGGCAAAGAACAGGGCCAGAATTTAGCAAGACAGTGGTGTAACTGTGCCTTTTTAGAATCTTCTGCAAAGTCAAAGATCAATGTTAATGAGGTAACCTACAATTGCTGGGCAGCACAAACAAGTGCCTTTTTAGTTTGCTTTAAGTTAACAGCCAAACTTTTAAGAAGCATTTTTTATCTTTTAAGCAATCTTGATTCTGTCATTTTATAGGAAACACTAATTCCTAGAAACTATATTTTTTAGCTTACATAAGGTCACTTTGATGGCTGTATGAGGATACTTAAATTTACCTTATTTTGAAGCTAAAATGAAAGAATGTGTATAAAATCCTGCTAAGCCTCTAAGTGATATGCGATAAAGTGGTGTGTAAAAATTATTACATCACCCTTATATTGTAATAATTATTTATCCAAATGCATAAAATAGGTTGTAAAGTCAGTTGGAAAATAATATGTTTTCATGGATATCACAGAATAATGTTCTGAGTCTTACTTCACCTTTGGTGCATGACTCATAAGTGGGTAATCTGTGTGAGTATGGACATGTACCTGGAATTCACTCAGTCCTTTAGGCCTGATACAGCTGATGCACAAGGCTTTTGTGCGGGGCATGGGGGTGGGGTCACTGAGTTAAGCACTCCACTATCTTGAAAACATAGCTGTGGACAAGAATACTTAGCAAATAAGCTGCATGCCTGGGTGTAAAGGGCCAACAGTATGCTAGTTTACTGGGCCCCTAAAAATTTAGTGCAATTTCCAACTGTCCCCACCAATCAACCTTAAAAAGTTCCCTTGCTTTTGTTAACTTTACCATAAGCCTTTAAAAAAAAATAAAAACAAAACAGAGTGGGTGTCTTTCCTGCCCTTGCATTTGCCATTTGTAGCATTACAGGTAATCAGTCAGAATTCAGATCACTTAACTACATAGGTGAGAGTGAGAGTGAGAGTGGGTTAAGTTATGAATCCTCTGTTTTTGCTTGCTGTTCTCTCTGACCTTTGGTTCTGCTGGCCACTTTTTCTTGACTAATATTATGCTTAGAGACTATTATCTGACTTTTAAAAATGACCAGGTTACTTTAAACACCTGGCAGGTAAAAAAAAAAATTAAGCTTGCGTCGGCTTCTGTATTTTACAGATAATCAAGAATGCCCAAGCTTGCTTTTTTATGTGAAACAATTTTTAACAAGTACATAGAAACAGGAAATTTATAAATTGTATTTACTCAGCAAATATTTATTGACTATTATGTGTCTGGCCCTGTGTCAGGCCCCCAGGTAATAGTCAGACAGACACTATTCCTGCCCTGAAGAAGTTTGCATCCTACTGGGGAAACAAGTCTTTCAGCAATAATTAAAGAAAAAAAGTGATTTTGATAAAGAATGTGTTAGAAGTGGTGAATGTGTTTGGCTAGCAGAACAGTGATGTGAGGTCACTATCTACAAGATAATTGGCCTTAAGGGATGTGGTTCCTTGCTGTCCTTGTCCTTACCTCCGTGGGACCCACCAACCAAGTTCGTCAGGCTCCAGGCTCCGGTGGGGCTGGGTTGGGCCTGGGTCCAGTGCATAGGACTTCTCCCTTTGGGAGCCAGAGGACAGTGCACTACATGTTTGTGAGAACCTACATGCTGTTAAACCTTCCTGCATGCTATTAAACTTCCTCTGGATTAGTTTCCAATGCAGCAGAGATACTTTTTCATAGCAGTCTTGTTAAAGCAGAGAGTTTATAAACGAGGGTTTATAAAAACAAACAGAAAAACCATAAAATGAAATGCATTAGCCATCTCAAGAATCTTTACTTTTTGGGAAACATACAAACTTTATGTTCAATTCTTGAGTGGGGAGAATGAAGCAGATAATTTTAGTTTCTTTTAATATTTTTCTCTTTATAACCTGATAATCCAGCTACAGGATTTCTTTGATAGTTAATAGTTCCTCACACAACTTTTGCCTTGTAAATTTTTTTGTGATTTTTGAATGCCTGAATTATAGAGAGATACTTTCAAAAATTCACCTCTTGGCCTTAAATTTGAAAACAGACACAAGGACATACTACTTGGCTGAAGAGCCCCCTAATTCATTCATATATATATATATATATATAACTCTTATTCACACCACTTTGCAATGTTTTAAAGTAGTATATGGCTATACCAGAATCACAGTAGTCTTAATCAAGAATTAATTGTTCTTTGCTGAGGCTGGAATAGTAATTGGAATCAAGACATCCCAATTTAGGAATGGGAGAGGGATTGAGAAACTCTATTCTGTGTTCCCTTTAGATTTTTCTATAGTTCAGAGAGATGAGGAAGAACCTAGGCTGGGGCCTTTCAGCATTTCTAACCAAATATTATAGTTCGAACTTGCCCTCATCACTGAACCATCTGCTGCTGTGAGGTAGGCAATGTTTTCCAAAGAAATAATTTAGAATAATACTACAAACATTAGTTACCTTTCTGTATAGTACCAGAAACCAGAAACTGGCTAGTATGAAGAAACTGAAATAGAAACTACTTGTAATTTTTATTAACTTACTGTTTTAGTTTACTTTTATTAATTTTTTATCTTATAGCTTATGCATTGAGTGTAGGGAACTAATAAAAGCTCATTTGTGGCTTAAGCACATTGAGTTCTTGAAGTTTTCAGAGTTTTGAAACAACTTGGACTTTGGAGTTGTAAAACAGAAACTACAATTTTGTTTATAAATTCTGTTTTCAGACTTCTTTTAGAAATAAGATAACAGTTAAATGATTTGAAGAGGATGGGAGTGGGAAGAATGGAGCAGAAAGAAAAGAATTTAAATGAGTCACTTTTATAGCTTTTGGATAAATCATTCAGGTTTTTTTTCTTTTTAACAGTTAATTTAGTCTTGTAGTCTGGACCATTTAAAAAAGTAAATAGGCAATTATCATTTTAAAGAAATACAATTATTTACCATCTATCTTAAAATACATGTAGATTGATAATTTAAAAATATTTTACTCTTAAAATGTACTCAAAAGATATAAGAACAATAAAAAAGAATTTGTTCACCCTTCATCAGATTCACCCATTATTAAAATTTTGCCACTTGTTTACAGAAATTACACTTCTTTACCCCTAAATATTTTAGTGTATGTATCCTCAGATCAAAGACATTGTCTTACACAACCACAGCACAATGATTAGAATCCTAAAAATTGATGACACAGTCTGTGTTTGGTATATATTCAGATTTTACCAGTTGTCCCTGAGATGCTCCTTAAAGCCAGTCCATTTTTTAATATATTTCTGCAAAGAACTATTTATTCCAGGTTAGTATCAATAAGGGACTTCTATGATATTTGTTTTTATTCCAAATCATTAGTAAGTGTTGTATTTCATAGCAAAGCTTATCTATTTCATGTTTTAATACTTTGGCATCAGAATTAAAATAATCTGCTTTTATGAGATAAGTAGCATTGTATTTTTGTCTTTGACACTGCACTTTTCATCCAAAAATGAATCCACAGGATTTATTAACAAATATTATTTGGGCTGGGCACAGTGGCTCACATCTAAAATCCTGGCACTTTGGGAGGCCGAGACAGCCAGATCACTTGACCTCAGATGTTTGAGACCAGTCTGGGCAACATTGCAAAACTCTTGTCTCTACGAAAAATAGAAAATTTAGCTGGGTGTGGTGGCACACGCCTGTAGTTCCCAGCTGTTCAGGAGGCTGAGATGGAAGGATCGCTTGAGCCTGGGAAGTGGAGGTTGCAGTAAGCCGAGATTGTGCCACAGCACTCCAGCCTGGGTGACAGAGTGAGACTCTGTCTCAAAACAAAACAAACAAACTAAAACCCACAAATATTTGTTACTTCAAATCAAGGATTAGCAGACTTTTTCTGAATATTTTTTGCTTTAACCAAAATTAACATAAAAAAAGACAAAAATCATGTGCCTCTGCATGTGATATCTTGAAAGGGGGACAGTATCTCTTCTGTCCTATTTTAGACAAAAATGTATAACCTGAATCTAATCACAAGAAAATCTCAGATAAGCCCAAATTGAGGGAAGTTACTAGCCTTTATTTTTCAGAAATGACAATGTCCTGAAAGGCAAAGGCCAAGGAACTGTTCCAGATTTTTAAAAACTAAAGTGAGAGGAAATAAAATGCAGTGTGTGATCCTGAATAGATCTTGTCCTTGGAGGGGAAAGTTACTATAAAGTACATTATTGGGGCAATTGACACAAAATTGGAATTTGCTGTGTAGTTATACAAAATAATATGTCAATCCTTAAATGTCTTAAGTGTAATAACTATAATGTGTTTATGTAAGAGAATATCCTTGTTCTTAGGAACAATTTAACTATCAAGGACTTAATAGTTAAGGTCTACTCTCAGATGATTCAGAAAGAGTGTGTGTGTGTGTGTGTGAAGTAAAAGTGGCAAAATGTTACGAATTGGTGAATCTGGGAAGAATATACGAAGTTGTTGGTACTATTTTTGCAACTTTTCTGTAGGTTTGGAGTTTTCACTATTTTTTACTACCAGTTCTTTTTCTTGATTTGATGTCGAATATCTAGGAGCAAGGGCCTTTCCTTCATTATAAATAGGTAAGTCCTGCTTTTTACCCTGATTGAAAGTCAGAGCCTTCTAACAAATCTGACTTTCAAAGAAAGAAGCAGAATACATATCTAAGACCAGAATAGTACCTACCAGAGTTGTTTTGTGGAACAAAGTCTCAAAAGTTGGTCGAGTAAGTACTTTTTTTCTTGTTTTTACTTAGATATTTTATGACCTGGTCAGACAGATAAATAGGAAAACACCAGTGGAAAAGAAGAAGCCTAAAAAGAAATCATGTCTGCTGCTCTAGGCCCATAGTCAGCAGCAGCTCTGAGCCAGGTAAGATGCTAAAAGCAGAAGAAGTGCCTTTCTCGTCTTCTTATTTTGGTGTTTTCCAGACTTTAGCTACTTCCCATTTCATCTGTTATGGTATTCCTAAGTGTCTGTAACTTGTAAATGTGAGATATAACTTGTAGGTACAGTCATCTTTTGGATAACTTGCCCTGTCCCTTTGAGATTCTAAGCTCTCTGACAGCAAGGACCATGTCTGTTTTTCCTTGCCACTGTGTCCCCAGTGCCTGATACAGAGTTGGGTATTAAAAAATAGTGGTTGAATGAATACAACGCCTTCCTAGATGACTCCCAAATTCATTCTGAATTGAAGTGAAACAGTAGTTGTTCTGAAATAAAAAGATGTAAGTGCACATTTGGTGAATTATCCCAAAGTGAACACACCCATATATAACAACAGCAGTCTCCCTCCTCCAAATTAAATTAAAACTCTGCCCTGATTTCTAACTCCATGGATTAGTTTTGCCTCTTTTTGAACTTTACATAAACAAAAACATAGTGTATTTTTCTATGTCTGGCTTGTTACACTCCAAAATATGTTTTTGAGAATTATTTATGTTAAATGTAGCAATAGTTTATTTTTATTGCATGACAGTACTGGAAGTGTGTTTCTGTATTCTGCTGTTGGTGTTCATTTAAGTTCTTTCCTTGAGGGAATTAGTATGAATAATTCTGTGCACATTCCTATATGTCTTTGTGCACATGTACATGCATTTCTGTTGGGTATATATCTATGAATGGAATGGCCAGATCATATGCTATACATATGGACGGCTATAGTAGATACTGCTAAAAAGGTTTTCAAAGTGGTTGTACCAGTTTACACACACTCCAACGGTTTTTGAGTTCTACATCATCCCCAAAATTGATATTGTCAGTCTTTTAAACTTGACCCATTCCAGGGGATATGTGGGGGTATATCAGTGTAATTTTGGTAGCCATTTCCCTCTCTGGTATGCGTCAGCTTCTTTCAAATAAAGGTTTTCTATTTAGGCTTCTAAGTATTAGTTGACTTTACCATTTTAGTTTCCACTAAATGACCCCATTGGAAAGAAATTTATGACAGCATTTAAGCTGACTATCAAGTGAGAGACCAGGATCTGTGGGGACTGTTTTCTTTAATTTGTATTTGTATTTAAATCCCCTGAACGTTTCTACTTCATCAGTTCTATAAATAATACCATAAAAGATTATTTTCATGGAATGGATGTATTACATAATTTGATGCTTATTACATGATTATTACTAAACTTGGTCTCCAGTCGGAGTAAACTGGTCCCACTGGAGAGTTGGTTACAGTAACTCTTGTAAGTCTCTTGGGTCCATTTAGTAGATTATCCGTTAAGAGCTCCCTATTAACTAATATGTGCTTCCTTAGAGATATGAATCTCTCTCTTAAGGGAAAAACACCTGAGTAATTATAGCTCCCTTTTTAAATGAAGGTACACAGGAAAAATGGGCAGAAAGGAGAAAAGGACCTGGGGATTATCTCCAGTAGTCAGATTTAGGAAAGACAGCATCTGGCTAATGTTTGCTTTAGGCTTTTAGTGAAATCTTAATTCAATAACTTTTTTTCTTTTTTTGAGACAGAGTCTCGCCCTGTCACCCAGGCTGGAGTGCAGTGGTGCAATCTCTGCTCACTGCAACCTCCGCCTCCTGGGTTCAAGCGATTCTCCTGCCTCAACCTCCTGAGTAGCTGGGACTTCATCATGCCCAGCTAATTTTTATAGTTTTAGTAGAGACGGGGTTTTACCACATTGGCCAGGCTGGTCTCAAACTCCTGACCTCAGGTGATCCGATCCACAGTGCCTGGCCTTGATTCAGTAACTTTAAATTATCAGTTAGCTGAAAGTGATTATTAAGATTACTGGTGTATGTGTTTGTTTAGGTAAGGGTACAAAGATAGAGAAAATGAAGATTCCAGTTCCAGTTCTTAAATACTATGTTACTTAACTCTCTTATAGTTGACTGACTCATTGACAGCTCATTACTATGGCTGGTCCTAGTTTAATTTTCAGTTCTCACAAAATATCCTTTTAGCTTTTGTTAAAGGAAAAGGTGCCATCTCCTGGCCTATTATGATTTTTAAAATTCATTTATACACACCCAACAATGTGACAGTCCCTTGTGAGTTTTACCTTAGAGAAGATAAATCTTGACCTAGATCTAGAATAAGACTTTAGTCCTGCTTGCATAAATTCTTAGACTGTGATGTGTGATAAAGTTGACTTAATAAGTCATCCAAGATCTCTGTGGATGTTCGATAATACCAAATAATACGTGACTTAGCAATCAGACTACTTTACATCCATTTTACTGTGATTATAGACTTGAAGTGCCATGTTGTTCCTGTACTTTTAAAAGTACTGAGATACAGGATAGATTTAAATAGAAATTATAAACGTTTTTAGTAAGAGTACATGAACCCTGAGGGCAACTTATCTAGTCCATAGCCTTTAGGCAAAATTGTATTGAATCATGTTAATCTCTTTTTTATATGTCCCAGTTTTAAAGACATCTGAGAGATATTCATCATCCGGATTCTTCCTTTTACCTAATTCTTGTCTGTTGACAATAAGACTAACTTTGATTCTTGTGCCCTTCTGCCCATAGTTTAACTTTGATTTAAACTATGGGGATTAGCTCTTTCTGTATCATCCCTTGCCTTAACCTGTATTAAAAATGGTAATTCTAATATTTAATCATAAAATGCTTGAATAAAGAATGTCTTATGGAAAGTTTATGGAGGCAGGTGTCCTTTAGTAAAAAAGGAAACTAAAAATAAGACGGTAATGAGATAGAAAAAATATCATTGTTTTCCTCTGTACAGACAGGATTGTCAGATGTAATGGGAAGCACTAAATATAATTGAGTATAACTAAGTATAACTGAGGATAATTCAAGTTGATCAGTTATGGACTCCTCTCTTGTGAACTTCTATTTTTGATTTTTTAAAACATTTTTAAAGGGAATTTACAATAGCACTGTTACTGTAGCTGTTTAGCATAATTTAGTTCTCCAGGTAAAATCAGCTGAAATCGCTTTATTTTATTGGATACCTGCTTGTTTAGTACCATTTTCTGACATCAAGAGATTAACCATACATATATGTATATCTGTATATCCCATGTCTTAGATTACAGGAATGAAGAACTGTTGCCTAATTGGAAAGTGCCAGCATTCCAGACTTCAAAAAAAAAAAAAAAAATCTGAAGAGGCTTCTCCTGTTTTATATATTATGTGAAGAATTTAGATCTTATATTGGTTTGCACAAGTTCCCTGGAGAAAAAAATTGCTCTGTGTATATCTCTTGGAAAATAAGACAATAGTATTTCTCCTTTGCAATAGCAGTTATAACAGATGTGAAAATATACTTGACTCTAATATGATTATACAAAAGAGCATGGATGCATTTCAAATGTTAGATATTGCTACTATAATCAAATGATTTCATATTGACCTTTTTATCATGATTCCTCCCTATCAAGCACTAAAAAGTTGAACCATTATACTTTATATCTGTAATGATATTGATTATGAAATGTCCCCTCAAACTCATTGCAGCAGATAACTTTTTTGAGTCATTGACTTCATTTTATATTTAAAAAATTATGGAATATCATCTGTCATTATATTCTAATTAAAATTGTGCATAATGCTTTGGAAAAAATGGGTCTTTTATAGGAAAAAAAAACTGGGATAACTGATTTCTATGGCTTTCAAAGCTAAAATATATAATATACTAAACCAACTCTAATATTGCTTCTTGTGTTTTACTGTCAGATTAAATTACAGCTTTTATGGATGATTAAATTTTAGTACATTTTCATTTGGTTTGTGTGTTTTTGTTATTGTTTATAGATTTAAGGCCTTTATTTTATAATGACCACATTGTTTTAAATGCGACAGTAGCTCCTTTCTGCCTAGTATCTGCAGAACACTGGCTTTAAACTATACTAAGTAACTGGTGATTTCTCTAGGAACAGACGTCGCACTTTCTGTTCTAAATATATTTATTCCTACTATACAGTAAAATACATCAGATAACATAGAATAGTTTTGTATATTTTCTCTTGATCTTAAAGATTGTATCTTATTGAATAAAAATCCCACTGTATATTATTTTTATATATAAAAAGATAAGTTTAATACTGTATCAGGGTTTAACTTTTACTATTTCAGATCTTCCACAGCTTGTAATTTCATCAAGGGAATCCTTTTGCATTGTTAATTTGTTGGGTGTGAGTCCACCAATGAAGTGTTATGTGAAAAATTTCAAACTTGCTTTATAATAGATTGAATAATTTGAGAAAAATGAGGGAAAGTTAAAACACATAAAAGGAATGTGTTACTTTTGCTTAAACTACTTATGAAATAGTATGGTAGTAGTAATATGGAAGAAATTGCTAAGTTAAAATTTTAGCTTCGTGTATAGTGGTGCTTTTTCTTTTCCTTCCCAGTTATTTTTGTCTTTACAAAAGACAGGGCTTAAGTAAGACATGGACCCAGGGTGATACTGCTTATGTAATCTCTATAAAGAGACGTAGAACAAAAAGCTTGTTAGCCTATTAAGTTCTGGAAAAGGAAAGAAACAAGCTTAGGAAACCCTGTGCCTTGTCCTCAAATATTAAGGAGGAGACCAGTCCTAGAAAGTCTAAGTAATTGCTCAGGGATCTCTAGATACTGTCTCTTTGCAACTAGGTATGAAGAAGTGTTCATGTCTTGCTGAGATTTTCCAGGCATGTGGTCAGCCTGTCACTTACTAAATTGAAATTTAAAAATCAGGTTTCAAATGTTAAGCTCTGACCAACCTGAGAAAATGTTTTGTTTTTAAAAAACTGAAAACTTGTTTTTGTTTTTAGTTTTGAATACACTTAGTTACTTAACATTTCCCTTCTACTCATCCAATTATGCATATGTCTGGGATTGAGGGGCCAAAACTAGAGTGAACTTTAATGAAGCATTAGGGCCAGTTGTCAGGTCAGGGTGGCATCTTTTATTTTAAGGTCCTCTAAAGTCATTCTGCTTTAAAACACCCCTCAAACATTTCTTTAAACTTAAGATCATAGACAGACATCTCATCAGCCAGTAAAACTTTCTAAATACTACCTTGTCACATCTATTGTGTATTTAACAGATTAAATAGAAGTCATTTGATAAGACTCCAACTCTCAGTCTGCTTGACTAGTAGCATAAACTCAGTATCTTCTATTTTAGAATGTGGTGGAGAAAGATGATAATTAGATTCCTTTGTCACATCTTATACAATCTACTAGGGTTAAAGGTGGAACTTTCAAGAAAAATGCCTTTCTAGCACACAGTGGTATTCAGAGCAGAACCAGCTGAAGTCAGATATGCAAGGAAGTCTGTGGTTGCTGAGCAAGATGAAAAGGTATCCTGTTAGAAAGTGAAATAGGTGTGTTTTTTTTATTGTCCTAATGTGAACTCCTTAGTCTTGGTTCCAAAGGGAAGGGTATCTGAAAATAAATGTATTTTTATAGCTGAAAAAAGAGTTTCTAGGATATTGTATGAATGTCAAATGATAAATATCTAGAAACTGATTTCATATTAGTATGTGTGACTATTTAAAGTATAATGACTTTGGTTATATGAGTGACACAGAATTAAGGAGGCTTGATGCCATAGTTCATAGTTTGCTTGGTATCCCTGAACTGTCTACTTTTAGAAATTAACAGTAAATACACAATCCAGCTGTAATCTTACCCTCCACCAGGGGGAGCATCAATATTGGTTAATACTTTTTTTTTTTTTCTTTTTTTGAGACAGAGTCTTGCCTGGTTGCCCAGGCCTAGAGTGCAATGGCTCAGTCTCGGCTCACTGCAACCTCTGCCTCCTGGGTTCAAACTATTCTCCAGCCTCAGTCTTCCAAGTAGCTGGGATTACAGGCGCCCGCCACCATGCCCAGCTAATTTTTGTATTTTTGGTAGAGACAGGGTTTCATCATATTGGCCAGCCTGGTCTTGAACTCCTGACTTCGTGATCCACCCCCCCCTCAGCCTCCCAAAGTGTTGGGATGACAGGCGTGAGCCACCGCGCCTGGCCCCAGTTAATACTTTCATAAGCATTGAAGTAACTAAGTCCTAGTACATAAACACTGCGTGGTTCACAAAGAGGCATAGAGACACTCTCTCAAGAGTTTACAATCTAATTGGGCAGGGAACATACTACAGTTCATCAAAGATATGAATAACACCATAGTTTTCCGAACTGTGGCTACATGGGTAATTAAGAACTTTTGGTGAAATATGGATGTGTGTGTTACTCTCTTCTCCCTACAATTATGAACTAATCTGTGTTTGGCACCTTGATTTGCCATCATAAATGGCCACCATTTACTCCTCACTGAAGTAATCCTCTTCTTTGAGGTTATAATATACTTGGAAAGTTAATACTTAGAGAAAATACTGATCTTTATTACCAACTTTATTAAAACAGGCTTGGAACATTTTTCTCCATAGAAGAATGGTAATAAGACATTCTACATTTCCTGGACATGGCCAGTTTAAAATATTTTGCCCCCTTACCCTCGTAGATACACATGTATTTGTCAGTTTATGTGCCTCAGTTTTGTCTTAGGGACTGAGGGACAGAAAGAGAAATAAGGAATACCTTGGTGTTTTCCTTTGTAAGCAATCACAGCAGAATGCTAGAAAACATAAAATATACTCTTATAAATTGTATGTGTGTTGAAACCAAAGTGTAAAGAAATTGTCAGGTATTTGGAGGAAGAAAATAATTTGTAAAATAAGCTTTTTAAGAATTTGGATTTTGTACTTATTTAAGGTGCTAAATATGTGTTAAAATATCCCCTCTTGAATCAGCTCCAGGCTTAAAAGGGCAGAGTGGTTTGGATTCTTGTCCAGGGTCTGGAAAGAGCTCATCTTGCCGAGAGGGAAATGAATGTGAGCTTTGAGGCAGTCTAACCACCCAGCTTTTAGTATTTATGTTCCCCAAAATGTAAAAACTGTAAGTTATTCTTGAAAATGTAGTCCAAACATTACTTCGATCATGGATTTTACTGCAATTTCATCTTGGGTTTGTTGAATGTGCAGTCCATTTATTGCCCTGTCTTGCTTAAATATTCTTGTTGAGAACAGCTGGAGGCTTTGACTGGGTTCCTAGTTCTGTTTTCTGGGAAGGCAACATGGGTTCTGTTTTGTAGACATTAATGAGCTTTAAACGGGAATTGGGGGATGTATGTTCTTTGGGCATGCTGAGAAGCAGCCTCCTGTGGTTCTGGGCCCAAGGTGTGACATACATTTCCCACCAATTGCTTCTCTCAAGAAGCAAGAGATTGGCTGTTCCTCTTGAGGAAAAACCTTAATAAACCTTCCCATTTTAAACAGTGGTGTGACTCTTATTTTGAGCTGTTGTTTTCAATGAATTTTTTTAAAGCTTAACCATGTTCAGATTTTTGTGCTAAATGTTGTAGGACATGCAAATCAGAACAGGACATGATCTTATGGGCCCTACCAACAAATATTCATTGCACTTCTGCTGTATGGCAAGTGCTGATCTGCATGCTGGGGAAACAACAGTGAACAGTACAGACTCGGATCCCTTTCCTCATGGAGTTTTTATCTTTAGAAAAGGGTCAAAGACAACTGTTGTGTAATGATAAGTGCTTTGAAGAATTAAGTGGTGTAAAGGGGCAAGAGTACTAGGCAGAGGGAATGTGGTGGTAGTAGTTTAATAGCTCATTGAAGTTGATATTTAAGTGTTCAAAGTGAGCAGCCCATGCAACTGCCTGCGGGAAAGAAGGATTTTCCATTCCTTGGGGAAAGGATCTGTGCCAATGCCATGAGGTGAACATGTGCCTGATGTGTTGAAGACTAGCACGGAGGTCAGTATGGATGGAGCAGAGTGAGCAAGTGGGAGAAGAGTAGTAAAAGAGAGGTAATGGGATTGAGTAGAGGGAAATTTCCCACAGCATTTACTCTGTGTTGAGTCCATGGAAAGGATTTCAGCAAAGGGTATAATGTGATCAACTATAATGTGCCATCAGGAGTGCTCTGTTGAGCTGAGAATAGCCTGTATGAGGACAAACATGAAGCCTGATACCACTTAGAAGACGGAATCATGTGAGGAACGGTGATTTGGACCATAGGGGTAGCAGTGGAGTGGCTATATTCTAGGTGTATTTTGCAAGTGGAGCCAACAGGATTTACTGACACATAAGAGTAT